ATTCTTGTTTGATCATCAAAACACTAATTGGGGGTGGAGGTAGTATCCACAAAGATTTTTGTTTGTGTTTTGTGTGGATATGTCGCCGCCGCCGCCACCGACACAAACCGCCTTAAAAAATAAACAAACTGTTGCTGTTGTACAAAAAAATACACACAATTGGGTTATTGAACTCGAAACTTACGCATTTTAACACTTCATTTTATTGTGAAGAGGAGATTTGACGTTTATTTGTACGAACCATTTCTTCCATAACAACAACAGCAACATTCCATAACTGTGGTTTTTAAACCTAACTTTTTACTCCCCGGGTGGAAATGTGATGTAGATACCCAAAACAGCAATCGACTGTGAAGTGGGATGACAAACGATCGCGTTCGTTCATTCACACATTTTCACTAAACTCCAACAAAAACAACCGGCATTTTTCGTAAAAACCAATTTTGTAGAGAGATGCGGGCAGGTTTTTTTGTTTTTTTTTTTTTTTTTTATCGAAACCAGTTTATTTTATGGATGAAGTTTTTTGTCTGCTTTTGGTAAACTGGATTAGTGGCATTCGTCGTTGTAAGTCCAAAACGTTGATGTAATTTGGCCGTAAGTGCTACCATTTTGGATAGAAAATTGGCTTGAACAACTTTCATTTAAACCTGACAATGAATCGGCACTGTGTGGTATATTAAAGAAGGTGATACAATTCAAATTTCCTTGTCGATATTTTTGTTCAGGAAATTTAGAATACAGACAAGTGAAAATAAAATGTTAAAGGATGGATCACAGGATGTAAATATTGGGGTCAGAAAAATGGAATTAAACTTTAAGACCACTAAATCAATGTAGCCCTAAAATGGAAAGATTCCTGTGGAAGATGCCCGTATAATCGTTTAAATTTTCAGCATTAACACCACAAACATTTTCTTATAGAGCAATCTTTTGTGTAATATAAAGACTCTCAATTTAAAAGGTCATAGTCCCAGTAATATATAGTAATCTGATCTAGATGGTCAAAAAATATCTGGTTTGAAACACTAGGCCTTTCAAACATATTCATCAACGACTCAAATCACTAGATTGTTGAAATGGACTTGGATTTAGATAGAAAGGCCCTGTAATTAGCGGAGACACGATTGCTTACGTTAAGAAGTGGTTGTGGTCGGAGTGCATATGGAAAGGGTTCAGTTAATCCCAATTAAATGTAAACAATTCAACTGATTTCTAATTGTTTTGTTGTGGTGCCACGTTGTTATTGCATATTGTCACTAATCGTGTTTAAGTGTGTACTGAAAGCCTCATATAAAGACCCAGCCCCTTTTGAAGGTATTTTGATGGTGCCTACAGTACATGTGCCTACATTGCCCCAAACAAAGGCCACACGTTATTTTCGATATGTTCCAGGACATAAACGAATTTTCCAACCAAAGTGTGTGTAGTTTGTTGTTTCGTTCTCTTAATTATAAAACTTTCGATCCATTTTAGGTATTTTGAATGTCCACTTTACGGTGGAGGTTATACAAATTTTGTCCAGACAGAAACTTATTTGACGAAGTAAAAAATTCAGGTTTTATGTTGGTATCAAAGTATTGAATTTTTTGCTGTGAATTCTAAACTGTTCGGAGGTATGAAGTTTAGGGATGCTATTTGAAGTAACTCAAATTGAAATCTATAATTTTTTTATATGTGGGATATTGAATACAACCCAAACAGTTATATGGAGGATGTTATCCATAATCCTGATATTCGCCATCCAAGACAATCGGAATGATCCACCATTCCACGAACTTTGAAGGAATAGTTACTAATAATAATATGATTGTTATTAACTATTTGATGGAATTAACATTCGGGTTTAAAAAAACGTATAAGTCCGAAAACTAAATACAGCAGGTGATCGAAAGATTTTAAATTGAGCTATGAAATTACTCTATTGAAAATATTCTTACAAATTAATAATGGTGAGAAGTTTAACACCATGAAGTAAGTTAAACCATTATTTGTTTAATTTCCCTATTGTGTATTTTGGGTAGTTTAATACCACTCGAGTAAAAGTTAATTTTCTTGATTGCTCTTGGCATTTCATTACATAGATTGGAGTTACATTTTCACCACAAGTAGCCCCATTTCAAACTGTTTTTGATATGCGTAACACATTTCAAGCCACCTTCATTGCCCGTTACCTCCAAGACATAATTTATTTTTCATGATGAACTAATTTCCCCCCAAAATTTTCCTTAAACTTCATCCAGATTGTTAGTTCCAAACACACACACACGGTTACGGTTGAAAAACTAAACGCATCATTTTATCAAAGCCAATTAGACAATAATGTTACAAAGCGTGTTAATATTACGAAGGTGAATTTTCATTATTTTTTTCACTTATGAAACTCTAAACTCTTCATTATGATGAAGAAGTTATAAATCATTGTGCGCGGTGGCATTGTGTAGTGCCAACTATAAAGTGAAGGTGGTGTTATCAACATCATCTATCCACATATTCAGGTTTAAAATTATGACAACGTTGGGTGGTGGCGGCGGCGGGTATATGTTGTGTGAAGCAAGACAGCAGGAAAAAAAAAACTTGACTATTGTACGCACAACATAAACGAAATACAATTTATTATGTTTTGTGTTAAGGAAAGCGTAAAATCTGCTCTTGAAGATTTTGTTTTGTTCACTTCTGCTTTTAGCAGCCATTTAAAATGGAGTATTTAAAAAAAAAAACAAAGTTGTTTTCAAAAAAAAAGAGAAATTGAAACGTTTGTAATTAATAAAGGCAATTTTGAATTTAAAAGATACAAAAAACGGAAATGAAGTCATAACACAACAACCGCTATTTAAAAACTATATTTCTTCTTTGCAAATATTGGCCAAAAAATGTAACAATCATGATTTCTCCAGAAGATGATTGGTCGCCATGTGTGCTCATGTCTTACCTTTTTAGGGCAATTGAATATTTTCATACCCCAAAAACTTGGAATCAAACAAAAGTGAAATAGTTGGTCATTGCCATTAATGTTACTGCATAATTATAACCATCAAAACCGCCATCATCGTTTCTACATATAAGTCATGATCATTGTTTGTCGTGAATAATGTCATCATCATACACCATCACGGGCAACAACATCTTCATGACCATATAAGTGTGATTTACAATGGACTGACTACATGTCTGTCCTATGTTATTTAAGGGACTTTCTATTTTTTCGCCTAGCCACAGAGTGACTGTGACGATTTGAATTTGGACATTTCTGGAAATTGTTGAAATTTATTTGCAACAATATCTAAATTTGGAGCAAATATTATTGCATAAAATGTTATTTTTGGAAATAGTAATATTGTATCCAATACTATAGATTCAATGATACTATTATGAAAATATTAACATTTCTATAATTTATAAATTCAATGATATCTGGAAAACCTGAACTAAACATTTTGCATGGGAAATTCAAATATGGTAGCTGAGTGTGCATTCAGATGATATTAATATTCTTCCATAGGCTGTGGTCAACACTCAATCAAATGAGAGATATAAGGATATTGAAAACATACTGCAAGGAATGAAATAAATTGTTTAAAGTTCATACAGAATGAATTTCAATTTGATACCCATAATTGTTAGTATTTATCAACATTCATCCAATTCAATAAATCATAAGTTGCATATGGAACCAACTGCGAAGACTGATATAACTGAAAAAATCGTTTGTTATTCTGAAACATATGAAGCTGTATTATAGACATTCAAAAGCATATGTTAATATTTTCATATATTGCAGAAATGGCCAATAGCCAACATGATTACTTGCGGAATCTAAAATTGGGTTTAAAGAAGTGAGAGGTCTGGGAGATTTTAAAATCATTTCTCAGAACAGAAGGTTTATAGAATGATTTTTGAAAACTGTATTTACTAGTTAATTGGTTCTCCATCTCAACGATTTTTTTTATGAAGTAAATTTCAATATACACATTTTATTTTCAAATCATTTCAAGTAATTTAATTTTACTGTCATTTTAATTCACTACTACGATCGGTAATATAACGTCGTGTGTTTCCATATGTATGTTACAATTATTTCATTTATAATATTCATGCCCACTGTGTCAATATTACATGATCACAAAACAATTACAAGATATTGCTTATGCAATTTCATTTTTTTTCATTATGTTTCTTTTTTTGCAAAGCCAAAAAATAGCGTAGAAAAATATAAGCATAAAGTCGTCACATGAACACGTTTAAAAGTGAAATCAATAAATTTAAAGGTGCAAGGGTGGCATTTGTTCAGCTCACCTCTCATCCACCACACTCTCACAGCAATCACTTTAATTTGTGCCGTTGAAGACTGGCTGAAAAGACGCATTGGCCAAAAAACCAATTGCATAACAATTATAATGCGGACAAATGGACAAAAGCAGCAACAATATCACCTCACCATCATGTTTTACAATAAAAATGGCTTTAATGCAAAGCAATCACAGACATTCAACAAAACTTGCTAGTCGATAGCCGGTGGTGAGGCTAGGTAGGAAGAGATGAGAGCCAGCCAAGTTTATGCGATTTGGCCTTTGTCTGTTTTTTTTTCTTTTTTTGGCATAGAGATGAGGGGTCGGTCGGTTGTGGTGTCTTTTGGTTTCATTCATTTTTCCAGTTGCATGTTGCGTTGGAAATGCGTTGTGGATGCATTTAAGCCGGTTGTGTCCTCTGCTGATGAAATCTGCTGCAACAGCAATGAGTTGTTGTTGCTATTTGTTTTTCATGGTTATGATGCAACCTTTTGTGGCATTTGCCACCTTATGTTTGCTTTGTTTATCTTCTTCTATTTTGTGTTTTTGTAAGAAGTTGTTGGTTTTTAACATAACCTTGCCATGTCAGGCCCTAAGATGACGTGTTTATGATTGTCTGCCAAAGTCGTGATTGTGAAAAACCCCAAACGGTGGGTTTTTCTTTTTGTTTACCTTAATTTGTTGCGCCATATGAATTTGAATATTGTTTTTTATTTATAATTTGTTTTGTTTTTCTTCTTTCATTGCAGCCATGTTCAAATCCGTACTTATTGTCTCGTGCCTTTTAGTGGCTGCCGTACGCAGCGAGGATCTTAAAGTTGATGTGGTCAGCGTACCAGAAGTTTGTGAACAAAAATCCAAAGTTGGTGATACGGTAAGTTGTTGTTGATTATGCAAATGTGATGATAATTGGGAAAAACACTGGGAGAAAAAAAATCGTTACAGAAATTTAAAAAGTTTATAATTTTTTAATTAAAAAATAAAGTAATATTGGGTCGCAAGGACCTTTTTTGTCCTCAGTCTTTTGAAATCACAATAGAGAAATTGCTATTACTCTTGGCATTGAATATAGGATATATCGGTCCACGTTTTGGTATAGCCCCCAAATATTCGGTTTTTTGACCAAATTTTATAAAAAGCGAGCCTACTGATGGTTCTGACATTAAGGGACGGTTAAGAATCTATAGAAAAAGCAAGTGGGAGAAAATATCTCAAAACATGGTATTTCAAATTGGAAAAACTTCGCATGGAGGTATTTTTGGATATCGGCTAATGGAACGAATGTTCCGTCTCGAGCCAACTAATTAAATAAGGATTCTTAGGTAAGAATAGTAGAAAATCCCTTTACCAAAAGTTAACAATTTCACCACTAGTAGCCCCATTTCAAACTGTTTTTGATCTGCTTAACATTACAAGCCATCTTCATTGCCCGTTACTTCCAAGACATAATTTATTTTTCACAACATTTCTTAGAACTTCATCCAGAGGTAGGCCACATCTAACTGTACCCCTTCGCCCATTATTCTGTATTTAGGGGATTTTAAGAATGTTTTTCAATCTGATTAGCAATAGGTTGATACCAATAATTTACAATGGTATAGCCTCCATATAAAAGTCTCGATCGATTTTAGGTGAAGTACGATCGGCCATACTTAACAACATTTATAATTGATTTATTTGCAAACCTTTGTATGTTATTTTGAATATCGACTTATCTACCTTATGTGTTTCGAAAAATTTTCATCACTTTCCCCTTTCTTTTTTATTACAGCTCACCATGCACTACACCGGCACATTGACTGATGGCAAAAAATTCGATTCTAGGTACGTTCACACTCTTTGTCCCTACGATTTGTTTATGTTACTCTCTACTCCCATCGCAAACCTTTTTTGGGATAAAACAAAATGCATTGTTGTGTGTTATGCTGCCTATTTATTGGCTTATTTTAATTTATGTCCTTTTTTGCGCGTGATCAAAAAAGAGATGTCCTCATAATAATGTGTGTTCCAATACTCTCGCCTGGTATTGTTCCTAGTTTACACAGGAACGCCAAACGAACAATGTTTTTAACACGTTTGTATAAACATTGTCGTAAATTAGCTGCAAAAATCATTGATAAGAATCTTGGTCATTCAACAGCCGACAACAACAACAAGGGGAACAACTCTATTGTTGGTCACATATTAAAGAGGAGCGTCTGCTTTTATTATTATACTCTTTCCCTCAAAATTACACTTTGGCCATGTATTTTTGAGGGAAAGAGTATACCATTTCTTTTTTGGAGAGAGGAAAAAACGTGGAATTTAAAAGTGCAAAAATTATTTTAAAGTTGCGTTTGAGTTTTCAAAGGCCAGGACATTTTCATTAAATAAATATTGAGTTGTTGAGATTGATAGGTAACGAAAAAAAGTTTGTCTTTTTCAATACTCTGTGGCAATTAAATATGGGAATCTCTTATATTATCGTTTCCCCTAACAGTAAATGGTACATTTGTTTTTCTAAAAACATTCAATACTCCCTCCAACTCTTCTGTGAAAATTCTTATCAGAGCACTAAAATTATCAGCATTGGAAAAATGTCTTTAAAATTTATGAAGATATTTAATTTGAAAATATGTAATATAAATTTAATTGGGCAAGCTGTCAACTCTACTAACCAAAAGAGTGAAAATAAGGGTTTCTCATTTGCCACATGTTCGTACTACTTGCGAGTCAAGCAACATGATATGCATATTTCTCTCCCCTCAACGAAACCTGATAAGTCACCAATGTGTTTCTAAACCCTCTAAATGATAACAAACTGAAGTCGAACAAAAAAACTTCTGTTACTGCTGGTTTATTATTAGAGCGGCAAATGCTTATCAGCTAAACATTTAGGCAGACCTCCTGCTTCACATGTTTCTATGATTTTTTTCTATAGTACCCAATAAATTTATTCTCTATAATATTAATATATGAAACCGAAATTTTTGTTGTCCACAAACAAAAAAATAACACAAAAATCTAGCAAAATGATTAGAAATAATTGTTTATGTCCACATGCTCTCAAAGATTAGAAATTTATTACGGGGCTTGGATTGGTTAGTGTGAGTGGTACTTTAATGCTTGTCAAACTTTGCCTGTACATTGAAGTGTATTTTCAACGTTCAACTTACATGTAGTGTATTCAAAATACATTTGTTATATTAATATGTAGTCGTTCCTACTTGTAGATTTGTGTTTTTTGTTTAGTTTTCAAAATCTCATGTTTAGAATTTATTTAATTTTGAGGGAAATTGTTTTGTGATTGTGCCTTAAATGCAAATTGCCAAACAAATTTACTTAGCATAGCTGAATAGTTTTTTGTGTTTGCAAAAGGTATGCAATTTTGTCCTGAAATTGTGTTATCTGCTTGATTAAATAATAATGGTGTCCTTAGGTTAACGTTATGGCCAATTTAGCACCAGACGAAATAAATAGAGAGAACAAGTAAAATAAAATAGGAATAATCAAATATAAAAATGTACTTTTCAATGAATTCATTTAGATGAGATGAAAGGAATGTGAATGATCTACAACAGGGTTTCGAAAAAGAGATGTTATATTATAAACCATCTGCATTGGCGAAGCAGGTGGCAGCCGACGCAGGCACCTGCTTCACGCTCGCTACCTTTGGAACTTCCACCAACAACTGCCCAATTGTCACAACCTTGGATATCGGGTTTAATTTTTTTTGCAATCCGATTCCTACGAAATAATAAGATGAAATATGTATCAAATGTACAAGATTTTAGCACGATGCCAAAAAAGTCGAAATCGATTCAATTAAATCAAATACATATATGCCAAAAATGGTACTACATAAATACCATTTTTCATAATCCGACTTTATTCTTACTAATGTGAATTCCTTATTCCGCATTCGCAACTCTAAAAAATATGTCATTCCTTATTAACAAACATATTTCTCTTCTTCTTTCACATACATGCATTACATCCTCCATTACCAACGACAGACGACGACTTCTCAACTATTCCCAAAGTGAAAGTTTCTGTTTCTGTCTGATGGTTGGTTGGGTGGTGGTTTATTTTTCTGGTTCATTATGATTTGTGTTTAATTTACCGAGATTTATACGAATTCCCCTTCTATTTACTCTTACTCGTCTCTTTTTGTTTATCATCGTCATCACATCTTGATGATGAAAGCTAGGGTAAACAAACACACACGCCGACAACCACCTGTTGCATGCAAAAATCAGGAGGCACCCTTCCTTACACCCACAACTGGGGTTGGAAAATATTTCAAGTTTTAACAGTTCACCTTGTTTTGAGACATTGTGCATTACTTAATCACCGAACAAAACAGGAACAACAACGAGAACCTTGAGTTTTACAGAAAAGGACATGATGACGATGGAAAAATTGCTTTTGAAACTCTTTATGTATAATCAAGTGCTGGGATTTTGTTTTCCTTTCCTTTTTTCGTTGCAAAAATGTAACATTTTTGGCTTAAAGCAAAAATGTGTTAAACACTGTCTTGTCATAGCCGTCGTTGAGGTAGATGGAAACGACGAGCAGCGTTTGCTGTTAGTTAGCTTCTTTTTACTACCAGCGGAGATGAGCACCAAAGTTATTCAAGCATATAAACTGCATTCTCTCCTCGAAAGGTTGGAAGTTTTTCCTCTTTGCTGGCGTTTGTAGTTGTTATTGAAGCTTGGCTCTACCGGAAATTACCAACAACAATAAAGACTACCAAAGACGGCCACAATAATAACTAACAAAAGACAAACGATAAAAAAACGCCAACTTGTGTTGCGTCAAAAAAACTAACAACCGCATTTAACGCCAAACAAGCGAAGCCACCAACAACAACAAATACGCAATTTTAATCACCCTGACTAGCAGGGTCTTTTTTAAAAGAAAACAAAAATGAATTTTCTTTATAACAACGAAATGTTAACATCCTCAAGTGGTTTGCTAACCACCCACAATTTTTCCATTTATCTTACAAATGCAAATCTGGGCAGGTTGAAGAGAAGCAAAACACCTGATATTGTACTGCTGTTGATGAAAACTCTGATGATGATGTAATTAGGCGGTGTACAAATGATAAGCAATTAAGCGTTCAGTCCCTATCCCATATAAAATAATTAACCAATAACAGATACAAAAGGTATTCAATTTCATTGCACATGTGTCTTAGCTTCTTTATATTTATTTGCTAGCCATCATTTTCTTGCTGCTCTTTTTGTCCACTTTAATTTCCTTGCATTCATTTGATGATGATTTTCATTTACCCTGGAAATGACAGTTTTATATAAGGCCACGCTTCAAAGATGCCATTGTAAGTGGTGATCAATTGTGGCTATGTCTAGAACATGAGCCCCGGCAACATAGTCAGTCTTTGGCGAACGGAGGAAGACATCATTTACCTTGTTTTTATGGAAAGCATTCAATGGACATTCATTGTAAGTTCGGGTCTTTTATTATAAAATTGTCTGTTACCATTTTTATAACCAATGAGAGTGGGAGTGTATCTTTGATAAAAGGATGTCAATATTTGGCATGTTTTTATTCGTTTTCGTCTTCTTAGGAATAGCCATTGTAAAATTGAATTTTTTATTGGCATACGTGTCTGCTTAATTATAAAAAGGATTAAATGCAATAATTGCGTTTTTGGCGGGCGCTGGAGCAATTCTCTTGTTATTTTTAATAATTGGAATAATTGGCGGCAATTTTGTCTACTACATTTTTCAAAATATTGGGAGATCTCAAACTTACCATCACCACCTACACACCTTTAAATATTGTAAACCTGCAAAAGGCCTCATACTTTAACATCCACTTAAACCATATTACGCTATTTCAATTGTATCTATTTTCTTAATATTATTTTTTTTGTTATATATTTTATGCTTTTATTTTATACACATTCTATTTTAATTAATGTAACCGTATTAAATGTTTTTATCCATTCAAACATGTTTTTCTGATTTTTAAAGGATATAAAATAGCTGAAAAGTTTCAAGAAGTCGATTCTTTCGCAATATCCATTCAAACATGTTTCATAGTAACCATATGATAAGAATATTTAAGAAAATAAAATAGATGAAGAATTTCAAGAAATCGATCATTTCCCAATCTTCATTCAAACAAATTACATAGTAACCATCTGATAAAAATATTGAAATCTCCGAAAAAAGTATAAAAAACTGACAAGAAGTCGATCATTTCGCGATATCCATTCATATGTTGTTTCAATTGAATCAAATAAATGCCAAAACATGGTCCTACATAATTCCACTTTTTCATTGTCCGACTTTATCCATGGAGAGAGGACTTCGCATTAAACTCCTTTAATGAATAAAATATATTCTGCGAATAGAAGGAATTTCATTGGATCACCAATGGCTATAAGTTTCGTAGATCTTATATATAGGAAACTTTCGAATCCTTTATTAAAAACTGCCTTAAATCCCGTTTCTTTAAGTCCCTAAAATGGTGTCTTTCCATTTTCCAATTAAATTTATTTGATGTGTTAATTTTTTTCTACTAATTCACCATACAAATGTAGCTCCCTTAGAGAGCCTATCCAAAGGAAGAACAGCCTCCTCTGACATTTGCAATTGCAAGCGGCAGACACATTAACTTTACATTTTAACAACAACACGAACTCAATGAAACAAATGAACGTCGTTGTTGTTTTTTTTTTCAGTCTCAACAAATTTTATGGCAAGAAAATAATCTTAAAAAATACTACTCTACATATGATCCTTGCCACAGCTAAGGATATTTGCCATTTATAGCATGTATTTCGTTGCGGGGCAAAAGGAGATGAGTATTCA